TTTCACGAGGATAACATATGAGTTAGAACGGAATAAGCAAAGGAATTTAACGTAATTTGGGCGATGTTTCGAGAGCACCAGATCCTAGTGATAAGTACCACTAACCAGTTCGTTCTATAGGGGGAGGCTGCGAATGGAGTGGTGGCGGACTGAACATACCTTCAGTCAGATATCCAGCAACACCGGTCGAAGTACCTAAATCAGTCTTCATGTAGTTATATAGAATCAAGGAAAAAAACTAGCTTAGCGTTGCAACAAAACTTAGGTCACCTATTAACTTAATGAAATATATATTTGAAAACTACTATTCCTTGTATTTGTATTTTTCAAACTTAACGATTCTAGGCTAACAAGACATTTTGAAAGTGAAGCAATGTAAATTTCGAGTGAACTCTATCCGATTCTTTATGACACCTCAAAAATACCAGCAGTATTGAAAAACAATCAACGGCCACAACATTATACTTTTTTTTCACGAAACTCAAGATGTATCTAGAGATATAGATTATAAACGAAAGAAAAATGAAGGTCTCCATACCTATAAGAACAATGCTGAAAAGCTTACCAGTGATTGCCTGCGTTCTGGTAGCCGGTAAGAATAGATCGTGTCGTTGATCTCGGTATTGGGCCCAAACGGGAGAACGATTTAGAATCTCTGAAATCTTTTCTCCCACTTGAAGATCCAAGCAAGCGCTCTTCAAAGCATCTACAATCTCAGCACGAGCTGCTGGAGAGTTTGAAACACCTGAAGGAGAGCTCATGTTGATCTAGCTTAAAAACAGTCAGATTATGCTACTACCTGGCAGGTCACCACGGAGCACTTCCAAAAGATAATCAACCATTCCTGTAGACAACATCTGCGCAGCAAGACTCCCATTATTCCTCCGCATCAAACATTTCAACGCATGGGCAGATTCATGCATTAGTGCTAAACTCAATAGTTCCACAAAACGGATCGAAAGAAGATATGAGTGTATAATCAAAACCATGCGAGTGGAACTTACTCGGCTGATTTTTCATGGAAGTCATGATTCCTTCGATACAGTTGATCTGCGAGAGGGCATCGGCGCAATACTGCAAAATAACATCTTAATCTTTTAAAATCACAGATTGCGG